TATGCCACCATTTGTGACTGTATTCGCATGGTATTAGAGTTCAATGAACGCGCTTGAGCCTAGAATAAAATCTTTAACTTTACATAAATGAGCTTGAAAGAAGTATTCGAACAACATCCATGGAGGTCATTTAAGAAGTTCAATGAAGCTGCAAAGAGTTTGGGGATTTACTAACAGAGCTGAAGTGAAAAGGTTCTTTGAACAAAAATGTTGTACATCAAACAAAAATAAACCCTTACGACTACTTTTTACCAATTTACTCCAACACTCCTGACGCATACCAATTTGACACTCTCATTCAAAGCAGAAAAGGAGGACATAACCCATTCCTCATCTTCATTAATGTTAACACTCGCAAAGCATATGCATATCCAATGAGGAATAAAGGAACTCGTGAAGTGTTAAGAGTTTTACAAAAGTTTGTAGCAGAAACATAGCCCAATACTTTAACATCAGACCAAGACAGTGCATACCTCAGCAATGAAATCACAGATTTTCTCATTAAGCATAACATAACTCACTACACACTGAAGACCATAACCATAACATACTCGGCATCATAAACCGCTTCATAAGAACGCTCAGAATTTAAACCAAGAGCGAGACTTTACTGAAGAAACAATGAAACATTTTCTCGAAGTATATAATTCCTCAACACATTTTACAACAGGACATACACCAAATTCAATGACACAACAACAAGAAGAAAAGTATATACAAAAGAAACGAAGCCAAACACAAAATATCAGAAATTCAACACAATTTTACCCTCATTCCTGGTACAAAAGTTCGTGTAGTTCTTGACGACAAACCGTTGACAAAGAAACGTTTAAGGTTTAAGTAGAAACTATTATATCGTAGACTCTACGCAAGGTAATGGATATCTTATAAAAGCTGGCTGACGACTCTATTGCGTTTTACCCTCGTCACAAATTAGTCGAAAGTAGTAATGGCAAACTTGCTGAAACCATTGACGAAGCAAAAGCGAGGAGTGGTTATTGAAATACTTTGGCTACAACATAAACGATGACACTTATAAAGTAAGATATGAAGGAGGCGTTGAAGATGTTATACCATCTAAGAACTTGAGAGAGTCAAAGCCAACACATCTGGGACCATTAGAGCGGGAGTACTGGAAAGACAAAAATAAGCCAGAAAGAATAAGAAAATTCTTCTAAACTTTTTCATTAGATGTAGATCAGACATGAATGAGAACAGTCATGTATTATTAATGGTACCATTTATTTTTGTCATAAATTTACACCAAAAATATATTTTAGGTGAAGGGGTGAGATCTCACCTCATGAATTTTCACCCTCGTCTCTTAGCGGCTCAGATTACTTTTACTTTCTCGTGAATTTTCATGAATTTTCTTAAGATAGAAAAAATAAAGTTAGTTTTATTTATTTTGTATAAAAGATATGATTTCAACAATCGGCACAACAACAATTCAAGCAACTACAGCACCAAACTCGCTAGTCATGAATCCTACGTCAATGTTGGTAGAGATGAAAAACTTCATTCCTTCTTCATATACTTTTGAAACAGAAATCCAGAAGATAAAGCAAGAACTTTTAACAAGTAATTTAGATTGTAGTGTGAAAGATGAAACCAATGAACAGTATCTTTATGACATACAGGATATTATTGACCATTTGCCTAAATTACCTGAAATTCAGCAGCAAAAACTAACTGTTCCTGAATTCGATGAAATAGAAGTGAAACCAACTGATTCAGTAGAAATAAAGAAGTTCATACGTAAAGTAAATTATGAATTCCTTGGTTTTCATTGTAATCATAAAGTTATGAACAAAGATTGCGATATGGTTTATAAAAACATTTCTGACATATATAAATCAGAGGAGTTTAAGACTTACGATAACTTTGTTTCATTAGCTGCTCAATGTGTGTGGCAGATAAGAGATAAAGATAGAAGAGGTAAAGTATGGAATGGACAGATAAAACCAACTACTTCAGATTTAAAGAAAGCCATTGACGCCTTAGTTGTTCTAGCAGGTCAAATTTCAATGTATAACGCAAAAATGAATCCGCAATGTTCAAAATGTAAAGCAGCAATGAGAAAATATAACTACTCCGTCAAAGAGATAGAATGCATGAGAAACGACTATGTTGACTTTAAGAAAGAAGTAGAGAAACCAGCAGAAGATAAAATGGATATGTTAGCATTTCTGAACAAAAACTATCCAACAGCTGATGATTTCCTTTTATCTGATGTCAAGAAGAAGTATAAAGAAACTTTCGACATTGTTAAAACTTTTGACATACTGACAGAAGAAATAGAAGCTACGAAATTGTTTAAAGTCATGAACCATCGCAACATATACCATGTAAAACGCTTGTGAAAAAATAGGTGAAAAAAGAGGTGAAAAATTAGGTGAAAAAAAGGTGAGATCTCACCTCTTCACCTAAAAATCATTTTTATTGAATTCAGCACAAAAATAATGAATTTCATTAGTTAGAAAAATAACGCTAATTTTATTTTTATTTATTTTTTTATTTTGTATGTAAAGACAGTAATGACAAACATTGAGTTTGAAACAGTTAGAAAGATAGACAATGACACCAAAGTGGTTAGAATAGGTGATTTAAACGTAAGATACTCAAAGAAATACAACAAATATTCTTTGTCAGACATTATATCTCCATCTGGAAAGAAAACAAACGACTGGGTTAGAAATGCTTCAACTCAGAAAATTTTGACAAGAAATCCTGAGCTTATGATATCAGTAGCATTTCATGGAACAAGAGCATATCTTATAGACAAAAGTCTTATACCAATAGTTTTGTTATGGTTAGACCCAGTTGTTGGATATAACTTCATAACATATGGTTCATTCGATACGGAACGTTGCAGTGAAGGCTTACTTTACATCGTTCAGAAACCGAAGGACTTCAAACAAAAAGATATAAGATAGGAAGGACATATAATATAACTCAAAGATATGACAGTACAGTCAATAGAGTCAAGGTTGTGTTTGTTAATGATATGAGAGCTGCTGAAACAGAACTGCTTGAAGTTTTTGAGAAAATGTATGGTGCTCCCACGAAAGGTAAAGAAACGTTTGAAGTAGATGAGATAGATAAAGCTATAAAATTATTTGACGAAGTTGCTGAAAAATACATGTAAAGCGTTTATTTTTGGTCTTTTGTGAAAGTCAGAAAATAAAGTTAGTTTTATTTTTATTTATTTTTTTTATTTTGTATGTAAAGACAGTAATGTCAACATTAGAGAACACAACAACAGTTATAGTCCATGAAGCTATAAATGAAGAATACGAGTACATACAGTATAACAAACAGTTACGTCTCATTCGTTCAGTCAAAGATGACATGTACCAAATGCAAAGTATAATGAATGCTCTTCGTTCTACAAAGCAATCATATCATTGGTTTGAAAACCAACAGACAAAAGAACTTTTAGAAGAATTTCCTCATATAATTGCTTCCTCGGAAAACCGAGAGAAGAGATTCCGTATGAAAATCGCAAGAATTTGGCTCCTGGTTTGAAAGGTTATTATGTTCATAGACTTTTAGTAAACGCTGTAGCAATATGGGCTTCACCTCGTTATGCTTGTTATATTTTCATGATGTTAGATGAACTATATAAAGCAGAACGTGGAGAGATGGAAAAGAAACTTCATGCAAAAGATGAAGTCATTGAATCCAAAGACAAAAGCATACAGAAAGAATACCACGTTCAGTACCAAAAGGAAAGGAAAAGAGTTATAGGTATATGATATATACTGAAGAATTGGAGAAAGAAGAAGATAAAGATATGGTTATGTTGCATTTAGTCAGAAGAAACAACAAGAGCTTTTATGACTTAGCTAAAATATATAAATCTGACAGAAACTGGTTCTATCGTGAAAACTTACCGATTTCAATGACACCGAATGAGCAAATAAAGGAAATTGTCAAAAATACTCTTCCTCAAACACACTATGACATCAAAGGTTGCACAATACTTACATTCAAAGAAAACTTAACATTATTGAAGGAAAAAATAACAGAATATTTCGATAACTTCAAAGAGGAAGAATGAAGTCACGGCAACATTAACGAAGAAGTCACGACAACATTAACGAAAAGAGAATGAGGTGAAAAAAGAGGTGAAAAAAACGGGTGAGATCTCACCTCTTCACCTAAAATATATTTTTGTGCTATATTTACACTCATTTACGAAGAAGTCATGAATCCTACGTCAATTATGTTCGACACTGATAACATAAACGATAACATTAACGATAACATAAACGATAACATTAACGATAACATTAACGATAACATTCATTTTTGCATTAATCCTGGACTGTTGTCAAAATGTCATGTTGTCATCATTTTTAAAAGAAGTTAATTAACCTGGTAGCACATGGTGACGTGGTGACACTTTCAGTTATTCAAAAATATATTTTTGCTTAAATAACTTCAGGGTCTATTTCTTCAACCATTTCACTTCCTTCGTCAATGTCAATAGAAGCTTCTTCAACCTTTGGTAAGAATTTCTGTATAACATCTTTGTTCGTTATTGTCTTCAGAGATGAAGGATAATATTTCACATTTGTTTCACCCTTCTTATATTCTTTCTGTTCGGAAAGATTTAAAGCAATACTGAAGAAGTCAATATTAGAGTTCTTTATAACAGTATAATGAGTATCTTTGACATTCACGAAGAAACTCTTTTGTTTCAAAACTACTGCTAACTCTTGTGAAGTATAACGTTTGCGGTCAATGACGATAGCTAATGGTCTGACATACTGACCAAACTTAGATTCTTTCACAAACTTCTTGTTAAAGATAACATTAACATTTGAAGCATTATTGAACTCATTCTTGATGGCAGTAGCGAGAGCATTGTATGAAAAGAACTTGCAATCTTGCATGTGTTTCATTAAAATAAAAATATTAAATTATTTTGAAAAATAACTTTAAAAAATCTAATCTAATTTTTTCAAAAATATTTTTTTTATTTCCTACTAAAGATGTATCGGAAGTTGTCTAAGTTAGAACACTCGGAAATAAAACAACTTCTTACAGAAGCTAACATAGAAGTAGCAAAGCATTACGCAACAAACAAAAAAGCACTCGCTGACATCCTCAATGACTATAATGGTGCAATAAGTTATGATAGAATTCATGAGTTCATAAAGCCGCAACGCGGCGAGGACGAAGTCCATGCAAGAGCATTTCCTTTAAATGACGTTGCTATTGACTTATATCATAGACGTTCAGTACCTCATGAAGTAAGAAGAGAAATGTTTGACATAACAAATGCGAACGTTGGTCATACTCGTAAAACTCTTTCGCATGATGTTCGTCAAGAGATGTTTGACATAACAAATGCAAACGTTGGTGAAACACGAAAGAGAGACGACACACTGAAACAACAGAGAAGAGAGATGTTTAAGAGCGCTATAGAACAAGTTCGCAAAGCTAACGATGTCATTCGTTCCATTGACGACAAACCAAAAGAAGGTGAGAGATGGTTAAAGAAAGATGAAGAGAATAGGAAGAGAAATGTGAAGTCGGGCAATAGACTCATTGACTTTAACATCGAAGCTTTAGATGAACCAAACAGAGACTACTTACACAAACATTTCGGTAAGGTTTTCATGAGACTCTTAGAGAAGATTAAAATAAACTCCCAACAAAGATGGATGGTATGTTATAAACTTGGTGGAAAGTATGAATGTTCTACGTTAAACCTCAATAATATTGGAACATTACTACATCAGCTCTTGAAGGAGAACTTTATATCAGAGATAGAAGCAAATGCTGCAGGTATTGTTGAAATGCACTATGACTTCTTCTTGACAAACATAAAGAATCTTACTGAAATAAAGATGTATGATTTAACAGAATATGAAGGCTTAACGATGTCAGATGTAAAGAAAGGCAAACCAAAAAAGAGACCATATAGAGATGAAAGCACACTGACAGAAAGACAGAAAAGATTATTGAACAGACTTAAACAAACAGGAGATAAACAAGATATAGATGACTTCTGGAATGAAATCCTTGGTGAAAAGAAGTTTTATAAGAAGAGAAGCGGTCAGTTCTGGAAGTATCTTTGCACATTACCTATAAATCTTGAGCGCTACCAAATCTTCAATGAATTGAACAAAAGAACTGCAGCACTTATGACAGAAGACAATTGTTTCGTTTATGCTTGCATTCAGGCTGAAGTAGATGAAGAAACTATTGACCACATGAGAGAAGTCATTCGTGTTAGAGACTTTCCTCAAAGTAAAGTACAAGAAATTTCTGACGCAACAGGTATAGCATTTAATGTTACCATTGGTTACTTCAATGACTCAAGACATAATGAAATAAAGAGATACATACCAAAAGAATGTGAAACTGCTCGAACTATTGACTTACTTCTTGTTGAAGACCACTACATGCTAAATGAAAGATTACCAATGACAACATATTTCATTCGCAACTATATAGAAATCTTGAAGGAGTGTGGTGGAATGAACATTGAGAAACAGATGAAGATTTATACAAAGAGAGATGGTAAATACATTGTTCGCATGGATAGAACTACACCGCTATGGGATGTTATGAAAACATTGTGGGAGTGCAAATATTTCGAACCTATTTCTTATGGAGAACTTTTCAAATATACGACTGACTTATATAAACAGAACCTTGCACCATTTAAAGATTTGACATATGCTCCAAAGTATTGTGTACAACTGAAGAAGAAAGCAGAGTCAAAAGAAGTAAATAAAAATAAGTGCAAGTTCATTCCTGAGCACGTTTTCTTTGCTGACTTTGAGTGCAGTACCGATGGCTTTCATAAAGCTTTTAACATCTGTTATGACAGTGAAGATGGTTCAGTGAGTTGAAAGCATTTGGGGTCAGAACTGTGCAACAGAATTTTTGGAGCGACTTCCTGACAAGAGTTTAATATATTTCCATAACCTCAGTTATGACATAAACTTCATCTTAAGACACATGACAGAAGTGAAAGGAACTCCCATCATTAAAGGTTCACGAACAATGCAAATAACTGGCTTATATAAAGGAAGGGCAATTATTATAAAAGACTCTTACAGTGTTATAAATAAGAAACTTAAACTATTTCCTGCTATGTTTAACTTACAAACAGGACCGAAAGAAGTATTTCCATACAACTACTACAGCAGTGTTTTGTTAGCAAATGACAACAGAACTGGTGTCATTTCTGAAGCATGTAAAGTTTGTAAAAGATATTGAAACGTTCATGAAGAACATAGATTCCATCAAAGGTTGCAGAATAGATGAGAACCACTTCGACTTAGAAAAATATAGCACGTTTTATTGCAAACAAGATGTAAGAATTTTAAGAGAAGGTTTTGTTAAGTTCCGCAATGACATATTGAAAGAATTTGATTTAAACGTTTATGACTACGTTAGTATTTGTTCAATTGCTAACAAATTATTTGAGAACAGAGTGTACTTCCCGAATGGAAATCTTTATGACCTCTCAAATAAACCAAGAGAATTTATTTCGAGATGCATTCAAGGTGGAAGATGTATGTTGTCAGATAACATGAAACAAAAGAGCAAAAAGAAACTCATTGCTGACTTCGACGCTGTTTCATTATATCCATCAGCTATAGCAAGATTGTATACTTTAGAAGGAATTCCAAAAGTATTGAAGGATGAGATGCTAAGCACAGAGTATCTCATGAGACATTTATTCGATGACGACCAAAAGGAACCCATTGGTGAAAAGTTTATGTCCGGCTTCTTTGTTCTCATTAAGATAACAGAGATTGGAATACATAGACACTTTCCTTTAATAGTTTGTGACCCTGAACTAAATCCAGAACTTAACGTTCCCAGAAGTTCAAACACTTGCTGTCTCATGTATGTTGACCATATAACATTACAAGACCTCATAAAATATCAAGGTGTCAAATGTGAAGTGTTGCAAGGATACTATTACGATGGAAACAGAGATATTAGAATAAGAGATGAAGTAAAGAAGTTGTTTGAGTTAAGGTTAAAGTATAAGAAAGAAGGAAATCCTTTGCAAGAAAATATAAAGCTCATTCTGAACAGTATTTATGGCAAAACTATTCTATCTCCTATTGAGTCAAAAATAACCATAGTAAATGACAAAGATGCTATAAGATATGCCATCAGAAACTACAACCATATAGTGAAGTTCGAAGGTTTGGATGGTTCAGATAAAACTATTTTCAAGCTAACGAAAAGCATTTGCAGACACTTTAACTTCTGTCCACTTGGTGTTAACATTCTATCTATGTCGAAGAGAATAATGTGTGAAGTATTCTGTACTGCTGAAGACTTAGGAATGGACATCTTTTATAGCGACACCGACAGTATGCATCTCTACAATGAAGATATCCCTCGTTTAGCTGAAGAGTTTGAGAAACGTTATGGAAGAGTTCTCATTGGTAAAAACCTTGGTCAGTTTCATAGTGACTTCGCAGAAATAACACCTGGAAAACAAAGTTTAGCATACAAGTCAATATTTTGTGGAAAGAAGACTTACATAGACTTACTCACGAATGATTTAAATGAAGTTGCATTTCACTGCAGAATGAAAGGCGTGAAGCAAGATGTTATTGCTTTAACCGCTAATGAAATGTTTCCTGACTCTGTTCAGTGTTTCTATGATGAAGATAAAGGTTTAATGGTTCCGCAAGGAAAATTTGACAAAGACTCTGAGTTCAGTGTTATGAAGTTATATAAAGCACTTTATGACGGTCAAGAGATTGGATTTGACTTATGTAAGTCATGTCAACCTTGCTTTGAAGAGAAGTTTAACTTCTCAATAACGACTAAAACAAGCTTTATTCGTAAGTTGAAGTTCTGAGGTCATTTATTTTTGTCAGCAGTGAGGTCATGAATGAGGTCATGAATGAGATCATGAATGAGGTCATGAATGAGGTCATGAATGAGGTCATGAATGAGGTCAGCAATGAGATCATGAATGAGGTCATTTATTTTTGTCAGCAATGAGGTCATTCGTGATAAAAATAAAGCTAGCGTAGATTTTACAATACAGCTATTGTAGAATTTAAGAGTTGTGCTTCAATGTAGAGACAGTCCTTATGGTCTGGAGGTAAGAACACTGGGCAGTTATGGTCATGAGTGGAGAACATGTCTATCCAAAACTCACGATTGAAGCCAGTTAATTTATAGTATTTAGGATTTGGCAGTGGTGTAGTTCTTGTATGACCAATGAACTCATTTTCAACTCCCTTACTTAAGTTTGAATATAATATAGCTTGCTTTCTATCCCAAATGCCAGGTGTTACAATCTTTGAAAATTCATTTTTCCTCGGAAGCATTGCATCATAATTGAAAACATTCTTGAAATCATCACTTGGTTCAGAGATTTGAAATCTTATACGTAATGGATTTTCTTTCTTTTTAGCGACTTCATTGAATGGTGAGAATACAACAAACTGACAGTCATGAGTTCCATCTTCATTTTCATTAAATTCATAATGAAAGTCTATAAGTTGTGGCTGACTACCTTCTTCTTTCAGTTGTGCAAGAAACTCACGTAAAGGCTGTAAAGTTTGTACTTCAATGTTGAACTTTTTCTCGAACATCTCATTAAATGAAATCATACATTGTTGCAATGTTGTATCGTCTTTAAAGTATTTGTATATGTGAATGTTTTGGGCGCTTAAAGACTGTTCGTCATTTTCTATCTCGACTTGAAGTATAAAGTCAACCTTTCTGAAAGCACGTGTTATATACATAGATGTTATGCCAATGTACTTCTCTTCATTTATGTTCACAATCCAGTCTGTTGGAAACTTAAACGTTACTCTGTTCCCCTTTATTTTGACGTCAGGGTTTTCACTACTGAAAGCAACAGATAAAGGTATTTGTCTATACATTTAATTCTGATAAAAATAAACCATTTACTCTTTCTTTGCTTCAGCTTTTTTAGCTTTTGCTTCAGCTTCTTCTCTAGCTTTCTTCGCCAGCAAACGTGGGTTCTTCTGTCTTCCAGCAGCTAATGCAGCAAGTTGTTTTTCACTAAGTTTTCTCTTTGGTCTCTCTGGATTTTGTTCTTGTTTTTGTTCCTTCAGTTCGGATAAAATTTGCTCACGAATTTCTTTCTTCAATGCTTCAACATCTATGACCCCTTGGGTCTTGTCCGTAGGGCTTGTCTGAGTCATTTGACTGCAGATAAAAAACAAAATTAAAACTTTAACCGATGTAAAATGAGCTTGTCAAAATCAGAGCGAGAGTCTATTATATTAAATGACGCAAGAGGAATACAACATCCTTTCTATTACGTAAGTCAGAGTAAAGATGGTAAAATATACGTAAGAAAAAGAAAGGTTCCATTAGCGAATGCAGAAAGCGACAACATTAAGGTGTATGGTAAGGGTGAAGTCCACGAAGCCCATATAAAACCTTCTGTTCAAACTGAAAAGTCAATAGAACCAGAAGAAAAGAAGCCAGATGTACTTTCAATAACGAACCAAGAGCTTATTGCAAAGTTCGTGAATTTCATTGAAAAACAAACCGAGTCAAAGAATCCTGACCCGCCAGTGAAAGAAGTTGAGACAAAAGAGAATGTACAGTTCATTGAAAATGTCAAGAAACAACTTCCACCACGAATGCCAAGAAGAAGAGTGAGAATAATGAAGTAAATAGATATTTTTATCCGAAGTAAATACATGCAGAACGAACAGTTAAACGAATTTACTCCAGCAGAGCATATTCATCAGATTCGCTCATATTTCGATATCATAGACAATGCAGTTCAAATTGGTGACACTAATAGAAAATATTCTGACGCAAAGATTCCATCACAACCTGGAACTGCTAAAGATAACACATGGGTAACATTCAATCTCTCACCTCCTGGTGAAAATATGTTGGACCTTTACAATACATTCATTACGTATAAAATGGAAGGTCAATTTATTGCAGATAAAGAAATTGGTTCAGGTTCCAATAAAACAAACCCACCAGGATTTTGGATTGGTTTCGATGACGCTTTCTATGCAGTTGCTGGATATCAAATCCTTGCAAATGGTCGTATCGTATATTCTCAAGACAACGCAAGAGAAGAAGCATATATAACTTCAAACTCACAAACTACCGAACAAATAAAGAAAGTAGATGTTTTCTCAAAGACTCGACATGAAGATGTATGGAGTCATTCGGGAACATGCAGAACAGGACAAATTGTTAGTGGTCCAATTACAGCAGGAAAATCATTTGATTTTAAGCTTCGTTTAAGAATTCCTGTTAGAAGATTCCTTCCATTAGAAGCTATTCGATTTATTCCAGCTTTTGCAGGAAACATTCAGCTTAAAGTAAAGTTCAGTAGCGACGCCTTACAATGCACATCTATATCTGTAAATGATATCATTGCTTTCAATCCAACTCTTAAAGTTGCATTTGCTTCAGATTCAAA